CCAGAGGCCAGAAGCTGTCAACAGGGGTCAGAACAAAATGTCAGACTAATAAAACACGAGTCCAGTCTCCGAAGGACAAAGCATGAGCCCAAGACACTGCTGATGAGAAAGTTCCAAGAAGGGTTGAACCAAATTAGAATTGTCAACAGTACTCTGGGTTTATGTCTACATGACACTAAAATCTCCGGGGGGCGAGGGGGAAGGAGGAATTAGCCAGTCTTTTAGATAGTCTTAAATATTAGCAAACTAACAACTTCGAATAGCCAGTTAATGCAAACATCTAGAGATAAGTTGAATCCTTTGCCAAGGATTTAATTTGATGTGACTTCCTATCCCACTCTGCACTGGAGACCAGGTAGACCCATGGGAAACTATTCAGCAGACTTTGGTTCACATTGGCCACAGAAAACCCTGATCTCAGAGATTCTGGGAGATAATTCCAGTGGATTTAGCTCCCTAGATTGTTAAGTGTGAAATACTAATCCAAACTTTTCAATTTAGGGGAGAAAGACTTCTTTTCTCTCTATTGGCAAAAATAGATGGTGAATGCCCAGTTCAACTGCAGCAATTACAGCAACTTTAATAACAAATAATGGTGGCCAGGCATGGTGGCTCACGCCTATACTGCTAGCACTTGAGAGGCTGAGGCGGTGGATAGCCTGAGTTCCGGGCGGGAGACCAACCTGAGCCAGAGTGAGACCTCATCTCTAAAAATAGCGGATTGTTGTGGAGGGCACCAGTACCCAGCTACTGGGAGGCTGAGGCAAGGGAATTGCTTGAGCCCAAGAGTTTGAGGTTGCTATGAGCTATGACATCATGGCACACTACCAAGCAACAAAGTGAGACTGTGTCTCCATAAAATAATAATAATAATAATAATGAATAATGAAGAGAAGTCTGCACAAAGCTTCAATGATGGTCACAATAGACCATCTACTGTGTTCTCACCCAAACTTGAAAGAGTGTGTGTTTCACTCAAGCAGAATTTCTACCATTCAGTTAAACACTTGTGTGAGATCCGTCCTAAATATCCCAGTTGCCAGTGTGTGGTCTGGTAGTATTTCTTGCCAAGATTTGCTTATGTCCAGTTAGACTATAACTAAAATGTGAATTTTGAATTATCATCTTATTTTGAACCCCATACAATAATTTTTAAAAAATCGATTTTTAGTTCATTTGATTTCTACTGAGGACTCAGCTCAATCTTAAATGAAAATTGGTCTTCCCCAAAGTATTCCATTGATCACAGTAAGACCTCCTTCTCCAATCACCAAATAATTCCGATAATAAACATTTAGAGAACCTTGTGGTGTGACAGGTGCTTTTGACGCATTATTCCATCTAATCCTCAGAAGAGACTCTGAGTGAAGCGCTATCAGTATCCCCATTTTGTGGGTTAGAAATTGAGGCTTACTGCTAATTCGTGGAAGAACAGAGACTCAAAGCCAGGTCTGCCAATCACCAAAGTCCCTATAACTCCATTCAATATTCCCATATTCCTGTGCTACATATGTATTGATAGATGTAAATACCACAAACGTGTAGTAATGTGTAGTGTGAAGGGGGTGGAAGGAGGGGGAGAGAAAGAGAGAGGAAGGTGGGAAGAGAGAAAAAAGAGAGAGATTTGTAATAAACACAACAAGCTGGCCTTCTACAATGGACCTAATCATTTGAAGACCTGATAAGAAGATAAAACATTAAAAAATATACAATGTACTCAGTACTACTGTGAAACCAATTTATAATCACTCACATTTGCATATGAAAAATGAAACACAACTTTAGCCTAGGATTAGGCAGGGAAGGGAAGGGAGAGGGGAAGGGAGGGGCGGTGTGTTGATAGAGTGAGGGTCAGCAGGGGGACCACACCTATGGAGCACATTGCAAGTTGGACCTGTCAGGTATAGAACACAAATGTCTTAATGCTGTAATTGGGTGAATGAGGTGAAGGCTATGTTGATTAGTGGGGTGTAAGCACTCCAATTTGTACAAATAATCAACACATTGAATCCCATAATGACATAAATGTATTCATGATCTATGTACAAATGACTTAATAAAAAAAAGAAAACATTCTTACAGCAGATCAAATTCCAAATAAGCATTCTCAATTGATCAGTATTTGCTTATACTTCCACCTTCATAACGTAACTCCAGCGACTGCCTCCAAGCTGTCCCTGAAGCACATTACTCAGAAACATAGACTTCCTGGAATACTCACAGAGCTTCCATTATCACTAATGAGCAGTTACTGATGAGCACCTGGGGAAGAGCTACCTGTTAACGTTCAATCTTTATTTTGGTAACTGGATCAGCTTTAACAGTTTTTGCTATCATTTGATTGTGATGATGTCTTTTATGTTTTTTATCTTATCTCTTTTGTAACTCTACAATGTACTTTCTCGGTAGCTCTAGTTATGAGTTAGCAGAGCTGAAAACACCTAAGCAGTGATGGCTCTTAGGCAACTTAGATCAATACTGCACATTCTCGATAGTTATGTGGTGTTCAAAGCTTTCTGTGATGCCAAAAATTGTTGCTTGCAAGCACACCACATTCCATTAACACAATCGATTAATAGTGTGTGTAACTAAAACAGGCATGCTTTGGAAATACTGTGGGTTGAGTTCCAGATGGTGGCAATCAAGTGAACATCACAATTAAGCAAGTCACACAAAATTTTTGGTTTCTCAGAGCATACAAAGTAAAGTCTATTAAGTGTGAAATAGTATTGTGTTTTTAAAAGAAATAATGTATCTGCTTTAGTATTGTAGGAGTTTATTGCTATATAAGTTCACAATCATGTGAGCTTTCACAGAGCTGTGACCTTCTTGCTGGTGGAGCTTGAGGTTGATGGCTGCTGACTGATTATCACTGTGGTTTCTGAAGATTGGGGCGACTGTGGCAGTTTTCAAAATAAGACAAAATTTGCCACATTGATTGGCTCTTCCATTCACAAAAGATTTCTCTGTAGTAGGATGTTCTGATAGCATTTGATTCATACTAGACCTTCTTTCAAAATTGGAATCGATTCTCTCAAGCCCTGCTGCTGCTTTATTGTCAAAGTTCATGGACTATTCTAAATCCTTTGTTTATCGCTTCAACAATGTTCACAGCATTTATACCAGGAGTGGTTTCCATCTCAAGAAACCATTTTCTTTGCTCATGCATGAGAAGCAACTCCTCATCCATTCAAGTTTAGTAATGAGAGTACAGTAATTTGGTTATTCACATATCTTGAGGCTCCACTTCTAATTCTAGTTCTTTTGCTATTTCTGCTGTACCTGCAGTGACTTCTTCCACTGAAATCTTGCACCCGTCAAAGTCACCTCAAAGGGCTGGTATCAACTTATTCCAAATTCTAGTTAATGTTGATATTTTTACCTCTTCCCTTGAGTCATTTATTCTCATAATGACTACTAGAATGGCGAATCATTTACAGAAGGTTCTCAGTTGACTTTTCCCAGATCCATTAGAGGAATCACTATATCTATGGCAGCTTTAGCCTTAAAAAATAAACTTCAAATGTAATAAGAGAGTTGAAATTACTCCTTGATCAATAGTTGTGTTAGTAGGCATGACAGAAACATTATATCTTTTTATATTTCCATCAGAGTTCAGTTATCAGGTGCATTCAGTGATATTTTGAAGGAAATCTTTTTTTCTGAGCAGTAGGTCTTGATCATGGGCTCAAAATATTCAGTGAACTATGCTGTGGAGACATAGGCTTTTATATAGGCCTTTTTTTTTTTTTCATTTATGGAACACAGGCAGATTTAGGGCCCTAGGGTTTCCAGAATGACAAATGAGTATTTGCTTCAACATGAAGTCATCAGCTGCATTACCCATAACAAAAGAGTCAACCTATTCACAGAAGCTTTGAAGTCAGGCATTGAATTCTCAAGCTGTGACAGTCGTTGATAGAGTCTTTTTCCAGTAGAAGGCTGTCTCCTAACCATTGAAATCTATTCTTTAAAGTAGCCACTGACATCAGTTGCCATAGCTAGGTCATCTGGTTAACTTGCCTCGGCTTCTACATCTCTATTTGTTCCTTCAGCTTGCACTTTTATATTATGGAGATGGCTTCTTTCCTTTTTCTTTTCTTTTCTTTTTTTTCTGCAGTTTTTGGCTGGGGCTAGGTTTGAACCCCACCTCCAGTATATGGGGCCAGCACCCTACTCCTTGAGCCACAGGCACCGCCCAAGATGGCTTCTTTCCTTAAACCTCATTAGCCAACTTCTGCTAGCTTCCAACTTTTCTCCTGCAGCTTCCTCACCTCTTCAGATAATTGAAGAGAGGTTGGGTCTTGGTCTAGATTAGCCTTTGGCATAAAGAAACATTGTGGGTGGTTGGTTGATCATCTGTCTGAACCACTAACTAAAACTTTCTCCATATCAGCAACAAGGCTGTTTGTTTTGTTATCAATTGTTTGTTTACCAGAATATCACTTTTAATTGCCTTCAAAACTTTTAATTGCATTTATAATTTCACTAAACGTTTCACACAAGAGGCCTAGCTTTCAGCCTTTGTTTGCTTTTCATGTGCCATCTTCACTGAGCTTAGTAATTTCTAGCTTTTAATGTGAAGTGAGAGACATGTAGTCAGTGCCTTCCACTTGAACACTTAGAGGCCCTTGTAGGGTTAAAAATTAATCTAATTTAAATATTATTGTCTCAAAGAATAGGGAGGCCCTGAGGAGAGGGAAAGAGACAGATGGGGAAATGGCCAGATGGTGGAGCAGTCAGAATGCACACAACATTTATCAAATAACTTTGCTGTGCATAAAACCATGTCCATAAATTTTATAAATGGTTTGTGGTCCCCTGAGACAATGTCAATAGGAATATCAAAGACCACTGATCACCATAACAAATGATGTTATTTGGTCTTCAAAAAATTCATGGAAAATGAGTATTACACGTATGAAACAACTATGCATGGACTTGAAAAAATCTTGCACTAATGTAAACTTGTACTAACATGTTATAATGTATCTGAACAGGATATAGTTTGGGGCACTAAAGAGTCCTTATCAGAGCAACATGAATTCTGCTAAATCAAAGAAGAAAAAAACACCAAATTTATGATGAAGCTTGCTGGAAGAATGGTAAAATCATCGATGCTTTATGCAAAGCTTATGAGGACAATGACCAAAATTAGCCATTTACAGATAGATAACTGATTTTAAGGAAGGATAAGATGATGTTGAAGATGAAGTCAACAGCAGCAGGTTATCCACATCAGCTTATCAAGAAAGAATTAATCTTGTTTGTGCTCTAATTGAAGAGGACCAAAAATTAATAGCAAAAACAATAGCCGACATCATAGACGTCTCAAGTGGTTCAGCTCACACGATTCTGACTGAAAAAGTTCCTGTTGGTGGGTTCCAAAATCCTTGCATCCAGATTAGCTGGAGGCAAAAGCAGAGCTTTCAAAGGAAATGTTAAATAACTGGGATCAAGAACCTGAAGCATTTCTTCGAAGAACTGTGACAGGAGATAAAACATAGCTTTACTAGTACTATCCTGAAGACAAAGCACAATAAAGGAATGGCTACCAAGAGGGGGACATGGTCCAGTCAAAGCAACAGGAGTCCTGTCAAGAACAAGGTCATGGGGACAGTATTTTTGAATGCCCAAACAGTGATAACATCTGCTTATTATGAGAGTGTTTTGGGAAAGACAGGAAAAGCCGTAGATCTTTAGCAGAAAAACACCTGTGAAAGCATCATCAGAGAGTTTTTTCAGGCAATGTTCCTGCCCATTTCTCACATCACACAAGGGCAATATTGTGAGAGTATTAATGGGAAATTATGATCCACCTGACAGTCCTAATTTCGTTTCTTCTGACCTCATTTTGTTCCCTATTCTTAAAAAAAAATCTTTAAAGCTCCCGTGTTTCTTCAGTTAATAATGTAAAAAAAGGTAGCTCCTTTAAATGCCCAGGACTTTGGCCGTGGACTGAAGGACGGATATCATCCTGTTAACGTGTAACCTTGGTGGGGCTCATGTTGAGAAATAAAATTTTGCTTTTCATTTTCAATTTACTTTTCCCCCAAACTCTTTGAAACCTCTTTGTATGATCATGAAAAGGGCTGAAAGGCTGTGAGAATTTCCAAAATCTGAGGCAGGGACTCAAAGTGATCACAAATGTTGGAAAAATGGCACCAACAGATGTGCTGGTTACAGGGTTGCCACGAACCTTTAATTTGTTAGGGGAAAAAAAACACACAATATCTATGAAGCACAGTAAAATTAAGTGCAATAAAATGAGGTGAGCATATGCCTTGTCAATTCCAACCGAGATTGTCATCAGTTCTGGAGCTCGTGGTTAGCACACGTCTATACAATCCCTATCTCTATTCAGACTCACATCCTAACCCTCACCATGAGGACGGAGACCAGTTAAGTAAACTTTGTAAAATCACACAACTTGCCTCTATGGGGTAGGTCCAGAGTTTTAATCTTGGTTTATCTGATTTTTAATGCCAGCACTTAGGGATAAAATATTACATCTTACCCTGACTTGACCCCTCAAACCAATTCAAAGTCCATTTGCGAAATAAACTAACCCTTGCCACACTCCTAGCAGAGAATTACAAAAGGCGCCATAACAAAGCAAGAAATTTAAGGGAAAGTAGTGTGATCAAAGTCATAAACCCCATTTGCAGCACAGCTGGGACTAGTGCCGGGTCTCCTGCCTTCTAGTGTAGAGACAGAGCTTGTTTACGACATTAATTCCTGCCCCTTCTCTGATGAGTAAGAACTGGGACCTCCTTTGCCGGAAAGCATTGGGCACCCAACCTAAGTAGACACCTATGTGTTGAGGTAATACCATTTTTATTTTTTTTATTAGATGATAACTGTGTACAGTACTGCATTTATGGGGCACAATGTGCTGATTTTATATACAATTTGGAATGTTTACATCAAACTGGTTAACACATCATTCACCTCACTTACTGCTGTGTTTAGACATTTATACTCTACTATTAATACATTTGACATGTACACTTGCAATATGCACAGTAGGTGAGGTCCCACCAATTACCCTCCCTCCACTCATCCTCCCCCCTGCCTGCTTTGGCCTCCTCTTCTCTCCTTCTTTCTGGGCTATAATTATGTTTTATCTTTCATATGAAAGTGTCGGTGATTATAGATTGATTTCCTAATAGTATTGAGCACACTGGGTATTGTTTTGTAAGATTACCCCACATAACAAAATCCCCAAACTACAGATGTTGGTAATACGACTTTTTACAGGTTTTTTTTGGTTTCTTTTTTTCTGTCCTTACTCAAACAAAATATGTCATTCTGTATTCTTTTCTTGTTCCTAAAAGATTATCTACTTTGATTACAATAAAATTGGCAACAGTTTTTTTCTTTTCTTTCTTTCTTTTTTTTTTTTGGCCTGAGCTGAGTTTGAACCCTCCACCTCCAGCATATGGAGCCAACGCCCTGCTCCTTTGAGCTACAGGCTCAGCCTCCCAAATCATCAAGGTTTAAGCTAAGCAAATAGAAGCAGTGTTTTGTGGAAGAGAGAATTGGATTTGCTGGATTTTTGAGACTTTAAGTGATCTGACCCTAAATACTTCTAGGCACCACTATTGGACATGAATTACAATCTCTCCTGTTAGGTGCAGATGTAATGAAGACTATAGACTGTACTGTCTTCTACGAATTGCAGTAAGTCAGTGTGGCTGCATCTGCAGAAACCTGCACAGTTATGAGCACAGACAAAATATAGCCCACAGTGTCATGGAGAAGGGAAATTGACTTTCGATTACCTCCAAGTCAAGGTTCAAACACTCAATTATCTTGGAAAATTATATTCTTTTCATAAAGAGTCAGACAATTCTGTACTGAGTTTTTGGCCCTGCCAATAACTGGGCAGATTAAACTTTAATGGGTCAAATTTGGGACATTTTTCTCTGTAAGAGCCACATCTCAAATCCCCTACCATCTATATGATTTCACGAGCTCCCAGAATAACTTTCAAAATAAATTATAATTAATAATTCCATTATTCCTGCTTATAGAATACTTCACGGTTTAAAACACATTTTTTTCGCATATTGTCACATTTGAAACCTCAGTCCTAGGAGGTAGGTGTTAGATTTATTTTATAAATGAAGAAATGAAGGTGCAAAGAGATTAGATCATCTATCACTGTCTCCACAGCTCCTATGGAGGGACGCTAGGACTTGTGCAAGGTCTGGCACAGGCCTGCATTTCCAGAAATCAGAAAGAACAGCAAAATAATTTATGCTATTTCATGATGGAAGCTTCCTAAATAAGCTCTGTTCAGTATCTTAATGGATGATTTGATTATTTTTTGCATCCCAGGGTTTTAAGTGGAACACAAAATTGTAAATAGACTACACAAGTAAAAGTCTCCTTTATAAAGTTCTAAAATTCTTTCTAAGTAAATCTAGAACCTGAGTGATTTTATAAAGTAATGAAATATTAAATAATAACAAAAATTGCTCTAAAGGGATAGCAAATATCCTAATAGAAGAACAGTATCATTGAAGGCAATAGTATGCTCCTTGCAATGCTAATGGTTTTCTTTAATTGGCAATTTGGAAATCCAGAGGTGGGCCCAGCCTTGTAGCTCATGATACTCTGAAGGGAGCTGTGTGCTGACACACTCTGCTTTTCTCTTCTTTGACTTTATTTTTTTTCCTCCCACAGAGATTTATTCTTAGCAATCACTTCCCTATCGTGATCTATACAAGGGCGGGTTTATTCATTTCAAATTCCAAGTTCTTCTTTCATCTTATAAATTTATCATTTCTTTTAACAAGATTATCTTGAAGTCCTGTCTCATGGTTCGATTCAAAACGGACCCATTAAATGCAAGAAATAACGACCACCTTCTACTTTTTAATTTTCATGCTTTGAAGTAATTTACTTTTACTCATAATTAAGTTAGACTTATACAATATCATCTTAGTAGAGTTTATTTGAAGCAACAAATTTGTAATCTTTATTGTAGTTGTTCAGTAGTTGAACTGTAAGTGCTCAGTATGATAACATGATCACACTAACTAATTTCCAACATAACCAAAATATCTACCACCCGGCTATTCTGCAGTGTTCAATTTGGGGGGGGGTCATTTGGTTCTTTAACATTGAAATAAAATTGTTTGAGCACAAACCGGGTGTTCTCAGGCCATTCCGGTACCTCCTATGTACAGCACAGTAAGGAAAGTAGAGAACAATTATATTCTCCTATATCTTTATTTTTTATTTATTTTTATTAAATGATAGCTGTATACATTAATGCAAACATGGGGTACAGTGTAGTGTTTTCATATACAATTTGAAATACTTCCATCAAGCTGGTTAACATAGACTTTATGTCATTTACTTAGTTACTGTGTTAAAACATTTATACTCTAGTTCTAGAAAAGTTCACTTGTGTCCTTGTTAGACAGACCGTGTAGGTGATCTTTCCAGTCACCCTCCCACCACCCAGCCGCCCTTCTCCCCTCCCCATCATGTTTACATGGATGGAACTGGAAAATGTTCTTCTTAGCAAAGTATCACAAGAATGGAAGAAAAAGTATCCAACGTACACAGCCCTATTATGAAACTAATTTATAGCTCTCAAATGAAAGCTACAACTTATTCTCCTGTATCTTATTCCATTCTTGACCACCTCTATGGTTTAACAGTCTTTCCCAATATTGATGTCCCCCCAAAACCTCAGAAGGTAGCCTAATTTGAAAGTAGGATTGTTGCAGACGTAATTAAGGTAAAATGACATTACACTGGATTACGGCGTGCCCTAATATCTGTCAGAAGAGAAGGACACTCAGACCGAAGGAAGGAAACCAGTCACGACAGAGATAGAGATTAGTCATGTGGGCGTAAGTCAAGGGACGCCGAGAATTGCTGTCAGCCATCAGAAGCTAGAGAAAGGCAAGGAAGGAATCTTCCCCAGAGCCCTCAGGGGGAGCAAGACCTTGTTAACATCTTGATTTCTGAATTCTGGGCTCTGGAACTTTGAGAAAATTAATTTCGTTTGTAAACCACATGGTTCAAGACAACTGTGATGGCAGCACATGAAATGAATGCACCCTGGCACCCTGGGCTGGCTCCTTTCTCTCCATACCACTTCATTTCCACCTTGAACACCACACACCACAGCTCTCCTTTCTGAGGAATTTTCCTACCTCTACTTCCACATCAAAGAGAATTTCCCTGAGGATTTAGGCGTGACAGGAAAGTTAAGCAGAAGACTCTAAAATTTCAACTTGAATCTTCCGCTATACTGCCTTGAAATTCTCCAGCTAGCCTAGACACCAAATTTTCCCCACTGGTCACTCTCCTTGCCCCTCCTCTGCTATCATAAGATTTTTCCATCCTTCTTCCCTCATGAGATCCTCTCCCTCTCATTTTATTTTTAGAACTCTACCTCAGAATCTCCAAGATATTTGTCTCTCCTAATTTCTAGAAAAGAGTCAAAATCTGTTATGTTACTTTTCCAGAGAAATTTAACTTTGTTTCTCCAGATACCTGTTATCTTGCTTATACACTTCATGGCTAAGTACATTATTAAGGTAATTATTTTAAATAAAGAAAGAGTTCTTTTTCAAGAGGAGTGTTCCATGTCATAAGCACTTCCAGGTCAAACTGCACCTAGATTTTCTTAGTAAATTTCTGTGCAAATTACATTTGCATCTCAAATAACATAACTAGTGTTGTAATAAATGCAGCCCTAAGTCCTAATTCCAATAAATGATACAAAATAAACATCATGATGTAAATGTAAACAATAGGATAATAATTGAAATGAAAATGATACTCCTCAAAAATCACTTTTAATTTCACTTCTACACTGTACTGATTCACCTGTTCAAAGCGAACTGTCGGTATCACATTTTCCCTGATTTTTCTTTTCAAATTAGAATTGTCTGTCGAATAAAGGTTAGCAAATTCAAAGTATTATTTTTTGTTTTTTGCAGTTTTCGGCTGGGGCT